GTGGACTACATGTGGACGGTGTTGTTGCTGAGCTCCGTTGTGGACTACATGTGGACGGTGTCTTTACATGTGGCTCTGGCCTGGTGGCCTGTTGTTAGGATCAGTGAGGATGGATCAGTGAAGGTCATTAAGTCAACAGGCCTGCTGATTAGTTGGAAATGGTCAGGATGTTCACTCTGACAGTAACTATGCTGCCCTACTCCTACATGTTTTGAAAGATCAAGGAAAATGTGAAGCGGACTGTATCAGGTTGTGGTTGTCCTGTTCCTAGAATACGTGTTCCTAGAATACTAGGTTCTGCAACAGGGATGTTGCTGCTGTGGGTCTGTCATGGGTGGTGTAGCGTGAGCAGCACTAATTCGACACACTTCGTTTGTGCTAAATATGTCGGAGAGCTCACTGTGGACTTGTTGCAGAGGCTTCTCATGTTTTAAATTACAGGCTAATGTGAACCATTCCATCCGTACACAGGCCTGTGCTTGTTAACAGATCTGTCTACGTACGGTCTGTGCTCACAGCTCGCTGCTGGGGCTGAGCAGTCTGCTGATGGTTCTGAGAAGCTTGGATGGATCCGTTCTCTCTGTCCGTTCTGGCTCCTAGTTGTACCTCACCGTTCTGTTTCTGTGCTTGCAGTGTGAGGATCCAGTCACGGTTCCTGCCACATGCTGCTTGCTTCGAGGTAAGGCCTTATAGCAGCACAACGAGCCGGTGGCTAACGGAGGCGCTCTCCAGGGGGTAGATCTGTAGTAGTGGGTAACTCAGAAGCCCAAAATCACAGTTTACTACACTGCTGTGTCTGAAATGCACAATGATGCTCTCTGTTTTCTGTTTGTCAGGTCTGTTTCTTCTTAGATGTGGGGAAGCATCAGTTGGTCACGATATATTTTATCATGAAGCCCAGATTGGATGCTGCCTGCTCATCCAGAAAGTCTAAGCTGTTACCTGTGAGTATGTTTCCTAAAAATAATCAAAAAGAAGCAGCAAACAAGCTGTTTGTCATCTCAGCATGGGTGTCAAGAAGTTGTTCCAGAAGACAGTTGCACATCGTGGCCCCAGCTTGTGTTGTGATCAGCTACCTGGGCTCAGTGTGCAGCTGAGGTGTCACCTGTAGCTCATTAACACAGCCATCTGATCTCCCCTGCCAGTGAACTTCTGAAAAGAAAAGGATGATGAAGTGAGATAACGTGGACGACTGGAGGAGCCCAGCCCCCTCGACCTCACCTCTCTGAAGCATGGCAGGCCTACAGCTTGTCACCCCTGCCACTTCACCCATGGGGCCTTTCTTTGGTCTGCCATGGCAGCAGGAGGCTATCCATGATAACATCTACACACCTAGGAAATATCAGGCAAGGAGGCTGCTGCTGCTGCTGCCCACACACACACACACACACACACACACACACACACACACAGAGGCTACAGCAGTAATTTAGCAGAGAAAGTTCACAAATGAAGAGGTAGTTGTCACTGGCAGTATGTTTCTGTAAAGCTCAGCCTCTCCTTACAGGTAGAACTTCTTGAAGCAGCTCTTGAACACAATACTATCGTCTGCTTGAATACCGGCTCAGGGAAGACCTTTATTGCAGTACTTCTAACGAAAGAGCTCTCCCACCAAATCCGTGGACGCTACCAAGAAAATGCAAAGAGGACCGTTTTCCTTGTAAACACAGGTACGTTCGGCACGCCCTGTCTGCTGCTGTTGGTGATGTGCCACCGAGGTTCCAGCCTCATTCGTCCTCGAGACAACTTCTTGTGTTTTGTTTTCCTGTCCAGCATCATCTGTAGTTCAGCAAGCAGCTGCAGTCAGGACTCACTCTGACCTCCGGGTGGGAGAGTACACAGATTTGGAAAGGACCTTAGCGTGGACTGACCAACACTGGAATCAAGAGATAGTAGAGAATCAGGTGTGCTCACTGTTCTTCTTTAAGTTGTTCTTGGTTTACAGATAATGGTCAGTAACACTCTCCTATCTTAACTTTCTCCATACAGGTGCTGGTCATGACTTGCCACATATTCCTGCATGTTCTGATGAACAAAGTTTTACCGTTGTCTAAGATTAACTTGGTAGTGTTTGATGATTGTCACCTGGCCATCACAGACCACCCCTACTGTGAGATAATGAAGGTGAGACTGTGACCTTACAGACGTTTGTTTTGGTGAGGCCTCCAGAGAGCCATGCAGGAGAGTCATGAGTGACCTGTGTCCCCTCTGTGCAGCTGTTTGAGGAATGCTCGTGCAGTCCTCGTGTCCTGGGTCTCACCGCTTCCATTCTGAATGGAAAGTGCGACCCGTCGGAGCTGGAGCTGAAGATCCAGACTCTAGAGAGAATCCTGAAGAGCAACGCTGAGACTGCCACTGACCTCGTGGTCTTGGACAGGTGCTGGAAGCCATTCTGCAGTCTATCATCAGTAGCTGGGCTAGTTAACTATACTGAGGGCTGAATGTGTGCAAGGTTTAGCTAGTTATAAGTAAACACAACAGTCATATCCACAGACCACAGCTCATTAGAACCATGACTCGTACCTCACACCTGTGCAACGTGTTGTACCACAGGTATGCCTCTCAGCCCAGAGAGGTGGTGTTGGACTGTGGCCCCTATGTGGACAAGAGTGGGCTCTCCTCCTGTCTGCAGGCAGAGCTGGACGATGCTCTCCACTTCCTGAATGACTGTAACATGTCTGCTGCCAGAGAGGATCGTGATCCCACATTCATCTCAAAGCAGGTGAGAGATTTCCTGTTTTATTTCCTGTGTTTCATTCATTATGTGTGTGTGTGACTATAATGTGAAATGACCTTCAGCGGCTGGCACATAATCAGATATTCATGAAGCAATATTTGCTTGACAACAATGATCAGAGGACTTGGTGTGATGTGGAGGAGGCGCCTGTGAGTGGACACGACAGAGAAGCCTCAGCAGCTTCAGGGCTAGTTTCAGCCAGTTAGTGACGGTGATGATCTGGTCTGCTGTACACGCATTCCCCTCAGGCAGCGACTAGAGCCTCGGACATCAACCTAGACCTGGTCTCATAGGTTCATAATGTTATCAGCAAAACAGCAAGCGCACCTGGAGGAGAACTCAGTCTGCATGTGTTGCTTTCTGTCCTTGTCCTCCAGGTCCTGAGCGACTGCCGAGCTGTGCTCCAGGTGCTGGGGCCTTGGTGTGCAGATAAGGCAGCAGGCATCATGGTGCGCGAGCTGCAGAAGTACATCAAGCATGAGCCAGAGGAGCTCAACCGCAAGTTCCTGCTCTTCACGGACACCATCCTGCGCAAAGTGCACGCCCTCTGCGAGGAGCACTTCTCCCCCGCCTCGCTGGACCTCAAGTTTGTCACGCCAAAGGTCCTCCGGCTGCTCGAGATCCTGCACGAATACAAGCCATTTGAGCGGCAGCAGTTTGAGAGCGTCGAGTGGTACAACAATCGCAACCAGGACAACTACGTGTCCTGGAGTGACTCGGAGGATGATGATGAGGACGAGGAGGTGGAGGCTAAAGAGAGGCCTGAAGCCAACTTCCCCTCACCGTTCACCAACATCCTGTGTGGGATCATCTTTGTGGAGAGGCGTTACACAGCCGTTGTCCTGAACCGGTAAGGATGTGTCATCGTCACTGCTGTTTGTCCTGCACTTACTCAGACTTTCTGTATGTTCACAGATGGTCGCTGCTGCCCTCTAGTGTGCAGTAACGTTGTCTCGTTTGTTCTCCGTGTCTCTGTGACGCGATGCTCTGCACATGCACAATGTTTTAGTCAGTCTGAGTTAACTGGCTTTTGGAAGTCGTTAGCTTTGTTGTTGTATTTGATAACGCCAACATTCCTTTGTGAAGCAGTGCCTTCAGGTAGAAGTGACAGAATCAAACCAATGATTAGGACACTTTAACTGCTGTGACCTCATCTGTCCTGCTGCTGCCTGTCTGGGCCAGGACACTCCTGAAAAAGAGATTTTTAATCTCAGTGAGCCTTCTCCTGGTTAAATAAAGGTTGAAAAAGGACAACTGTTCAGGAGAAGAAGCTCATATCAGCTGTAGAGCCTGGTGGTGGACATGTTATGGCTCAGGATGGCTTCACCGGGTACCGAGCAGCTGAGTGTGTGACGACAACACAAGGCCTTCTGATCAAAAGCTGAATTTGAACTAGAATTTAACTTATGCACACTATCAAATGCATGAAAGAAAGGTTCAGAGAGAGTTGGAGGGCTGTGTTTGCATAAAGAAGCTGATGTTCGATACGGGTTGATAATTATGCTGAACACCTTACACACAGGTATTTAGATAAAAGATAAGATAAGATATGCCTTTATTTATCTCACAGTGGAGAAATTCACATTGTTGGTAGCAGCATTCAACAGAGGTACACATATACGAGACAGGAAAAAAAATAAAATAAAAAAAAAAATTTCTGCTAAACCCAGAAGCCCTGCCTTCTGAAACTGAGGGTGTGCTCACGTTTACAACAGAACAATCCTACATTTTTGTTAAATAAATGGTTGATATTCTGTTATACCACCATCTGGTGACAGTTTTCCCAAAGAGGATCAAATGTGTGCTTGTCAAAGGACATCAGGAAAAAGCCAATCTGTCCGTTATGCTCCGCCGGCTTTGTCACATGACGACGTGGTATAAGAACAACGAGTTGAGAGAAACTGTAGAATTGTCCTGGATGAGTTCTAATGTCTGTTTCTTTGCTCAGTCTCATCAAGGAGGCGGGGAAGCAGGACCCGGAGCTGGCTTACATCAGCAGCAACTTCATCACCGGCCACAGCATCGGAAAGAACCAGCTCCGGAACAAGCAGATGGAGGTGGAGTTCAGGAAACAAGAGGAGGTACAGAAATAAAAGTCATTCTGGCACTATCACACATCATATATCACACATGTCCGCACTAGACTTCAGATGGTGTGTCCATCTGTGTGAGCAGATCAGTTGTTGTTGTGATGAAACAGAGGACTTTGTTTTCTTTCAGTGGAGCTCTTCCCTCTAAGCTAATTAGCTGGACTTCAATAGAATGGTTTTTGCTGCGTAGGGATGTTTGGAGAGCAGACATGGCATAAAGCCGTTATCAAGCATTACACGTCAAAGCAGGACTCACAACCCACGTTCCTGTCTCCTGCAGGTTCTCCGCAAGTTCCGGGCTCACGAAACCAACCTGCTGATCGCCACCAGCATAGTGGAGGAAGGTGTTGATATTCCAAAGTGTAACCTGGTGGTGCGGTTCGACCTGCCCACGGAGTACAGGTCCTACGTCCAGTCCAAAGGCAGAGCCAGGGCACCCGTCTCCAACTACATCATGCTGGCTGACACTGAGAGGACCAAAGCCTTCGAGGAGGATCTTACGACCTACAAGGCAATAGAGAAGGTGGTGATTTCTCTTTGTCCAGCTGGATGGGACAGTCAGCCTGAAGTTAGCTCGGCCTGTCAGATCCAGGCGATACAGCCAGATGATGATGATGGTCTTGTTTTCTTTTGAGCAGATCTTGAGGAATAAGTGCTCCAAGTCAGCAGAAGTGAGTGAGTTTGAGGTGGAACAGGTGCTGGATGATGACAACATCCTCCCACCGTACGTCCTCCGGTCTGAGGACGGAGGTCCGCGGGTCACCATCAACACGGCGATCGGACACATTAACAGGCATCTGATTTCTGTCTTCAGTTCTCTGTCCATCAGTTGCATTGATCAAGAATTCACATAGACCTTGTTTTGCTTTTACCACAGTGCATTTACTGATATTTTTGATCTCTGGTGCTCAGGTATTGTGCTCGGCTGCCCAGCGACCCATTCACGCACCTGGCACCCAAATGTAAAACTGCAGAGACGGGGAATGGACGCTTCCAGTCGACGCTCTACTTACCCATAAACTCCCCTCTCCGAGTTCCTGTTAAGGTGAGGAAGAACACCTTGGGTTATGGTTATACCTGAAGCAGTGCTCTTCCTCCAGCTCTTTACCTGGGATTTATTAAGAACTGTCTTTTTTTTTCTCGACACGTCGCTGTCTCTCCAGGGTCCGATAATGAACTGTGGACGACTGGCAGAGAAAGCAGTTGCACTAGTATGCTGTGAGAAACTCCACAAAATAGGTAGAACAAGACTTACGGTTCGGCAGATGCACCATCAGCCTCGATGTAATCCTGTCCTGCCTGTGCTTTAGCTTGTTGTTCTTCCTTTCCAGGCGAGCTGGACGATCACCTGATGCCTGTGGGAAAGGAGACAGTGAAGTATGAAGAGGAGCTGGACCTTCACGATGAGGAGGAGACCAGCGTCCCAGGACGGCCTGGCTCCACCAAGAGGAGGCAGTGCTACCCTAAAGCCGTACGTCATGCTTCCAGCAGGAGCTCAGAGCAGTGAAGGGGATGCTCCTAGAGGACTGAAGCACAGTTTCCCATTATGTTGTTTTTGTCGACATTAGTTTGATGCAAAAAATTAACTTCTGATATATTATTATAAACATATTTTTATCGTTTTTTTTTTTTATTCTGCAAAAATACACGAGTACACAAAAGGACAATGCGAATGCCATGAAGCCTGTCAGTGACAGCTGGAATGAAACAACCTCTAATACAACTACTTATGATACAGTATGTGAGGAACTCTGGTTAAATGAGCTCTATGTTAATGACCTCCTACTGTGGCTAGTTAATCAGAGCATTTCAAACCGCTGCCCTCCCTGTCCACGCCGCCCGGCTTTGCAGGGTTTAGAGTGCATGTTCAACAGACTGCAGTCTCACAGGTCATTTATTAAACAGCAGTCTGGTTGTGTTTCTTATGAATTCCACTGTTTCAATCATGTCACCAAAGTGCAGCATCCTCTGCTGGAAGAACTGGGCAGAGCAGCTTTATTATAAATATCAAACACCTGTTCAGAGACCGACAGGTGGTTTGTTGTACAGCTCATACACACCTGCTTCCTCAATCCCCTGTATTTAAATGAATGATCTGAAACTGGGCAGGGACACAGGAGTCATCTCTTGAAGCATCAGCAGTCTGTCAGATCCAGCCTCGTGTATGTGGATCTAATTTGATGTTGCGTGTTTGTCGTGGCCCTCCTCTGTCCTCTCCAGATACCAGAGTGTCTACGGGACAGTTACGCTGCCCTGGAGCAGACCTACTACCTGTACGTGATTGGGATGGTCCTCACCACCCCTCTCCCTGATGAGCTCAACTTCCGCAGGAGGAAGCTTTACCCGCCAGAAGACACCACCAGATGCTTCGGCATCCTGACTGCCAAACCCATACCTCGAGTAGGTTGCCTACTGCTTTCCTCTGACACCGTTTATCTTCATTCCTTTTGGTTTCCTTTGAGCACCTCCATAGAGTTGGGTGGTACACCAAGTCATTCCTTCTTCTCCAACTTGTCCAGATCCCACATTTCCCGGTATACACTCGCTCGGGTGAGGTGACCATCTCTATTGAACTGCAGAAGTCTGGCTTCACGCTCACCTCTGCCCAGCTCGACCTCATCACCCGCCTGCACCAGTACATCTTCTCCCACATCCTCCGTCTGGAGAAACCTGCACTGGAGTTCAAGCCCACGCTGGCTGACTCGGCTTACTGTGTTCTACCTCTGAATGTTGGTGAGTAGCAGCTGGTTGGATCATTTTACTAAACACGTGAAGATGCTCATCAGCCTCTTCTCATGATCACGTCTGTGCCACTAGTTGGAGACTCCAACACACTAGACATGGATTTCAAGTTCATGGAGGACATTGAGAAATCTGAGGCCCGCACTGGCATTCCTACCACTCAGTACACCAAGCAGAACCCGTTCACCTTCAAGTTGGAGGACTACCAGGATGCTGTCATCATTCCAAGGTACAGCAGCACCACATGACAATACTGGAGTGATTTTACATGATAAAGTGAGTCTGTGAGATCACTTCGGATGCACGGGGATCAGAACGACATGAAGACACGCTTCCCCTGACTAACTCTTGGCTCTGCTCCTCTCTAGGTACCGTAACTTCGACCAGCCTCATCGCTTCTACGTCGCCGATGTGTACACAGACTTGACGCCACTGAGCAAGTTTCCTTCGCCAGAGTATGAGACGTTCGCTGAGTATTACAAAACTAAGTACAACCTAGACCTGTCCAACCTGAACCAGCCGCTCCTGGATGTGGACCACACCTCCTCCAGGTGAGCTGCACCAACACTGGACCTGCACCACATAGAGCTGTGTGACATCAGTGGGTCTAAAGGTGGGATGTTGGGGTCAGAATGTGGGTCTGTTTTGAAACGTGAAGTTGTGAGAGTCGCATTTTGTTTCTACTCAGAAGTCGGGATTTTTTTTTAATTAAAAAAATAAATCTGCTATTATTACATCGTTATCCTACATTGTTTTCTATTTAAAGTGTGTGTTGTTTGTTTGTGTTTGTGTTGTTTGTTTGTGTGTGTGTGAGATGTTTGTGTGTGTGTTGTTTGTGTGTGTGTGAGATGTTTGTGTGAGAGATGTGTGTGTGATGTGTGTGTGATGTGTGTGTGTGGTTGTGTGTGTGTGGTGACGTCCAGTATGACGTAGAGCCCTGTCAGGTGCTCATCTTATGTCATAAACACTGCACAATACGTTGTGCTTTTTTTTTTCCTTCAAACTCTTCATTATCAGTACTATTTTTCTGAGCATTTCTAACCTTTCTTTGGTGAATGACTTCCCCCTCAGACTCAACCTGTTGACCCCTCGGCACCTGAACCAGAAGGGCAAAGCGCTGCCGCTCAGCAGTGCAGAGAAGAGGAAGGCCAAGTGGGAGAGTCTTCAGAACAAACAGGTAACAGAACGGCCTGTTTGCTTTGCACACCAAGGACATGTAGTTGTTCTTATTGAACCATTTATGGTAGTCTGTTGGAGGACATGTTCTCCATGTGCAGTAGGTGGCGTCTGTGTGTTCTGTGCATACACTACTAATCACAACGGCCCGTAGCGTTCAGCAGACTGTCCATGCTGGAGGGTACGTGGACATCGTGATGTTGCTGCACCCTGTGATGATCACTCTGAACCCTGTGTACTGGTTCTGTTGAAAGAAACGGACCTAGTTCGAATACGTTTTATCACTTCAGATGGACGGCGCCTGAGGCAGTAGCTTTTGTTGAATGCCTGAATTAGTTTATCTAAGGACAGTCTGTGGGTGGATGCTGACCTGCTGTCTGTAGGGAAACATGCATTTCTGTGTACAGATGAGTTTCAGGCGCATCACATCCTCGTAAATTGCCATGTGCCGAATTCCTGATTCAACCGTCCCACTCTAATGTGTTGTGTTTATGAGATCCTGGTTCCAGAGCTGTGTGCCATCCACCCCATTCCTGCCTCTCTGTGGAGGAAAGCCGTGTGTCTGCCCAGCATCCTCTACCGTCTCCACTGCCTGCTGACCGCAGAGGAGCTCCGAGCCCAGACAGCCAGTGAAGCCGGAGTGGGAGCCCAGACGCTCCCACCGGACTTCAGGTATCCGTCACACAAACAACACATCGTATAGATCCTTTATTTCTGATGACAGTTTAACTGCAGACAGGTATGTAGTAAACGCTGTACAAACCCAGCTCCCCGCGGCATTTAGACAGCCTGTTGCTAACATCTCAGACCTTAACAAACACCATAGCAGCACATACACCATCATGCTCCTGTGTTGAGAACTCAGTTTTTAAACACATGCTTACAGTCCAGACTTCCTCTCATGTGCAAGTCTAGCAGCCCCCCCTCATACACAAGCATGAGCTGCAGCTGTCCACCTCTGAACCACTGTGTGGAGCTTATCTAGGATCACTGAGGGCTACTTTAACTAGTTCATCTTCTAAATACTCTACTTGAATGGATGTTAAGTGTTTTGTTTGAGGGAATGTGTGAGTTGCACAGCCCCAGTGTGACGCTGAAAGATGCTGATTTGAACACAAGTACAGTTGGTCTTGGATGTTCCTGCGTCCTGTTGAAGCCTGATCCTAAATCTGTAGTGATCAGAGTGGAAGCAGAACAGGTCTGAGACACAAAACCGACGTGTACAAAGTCATCTGTCAGACTTCTTCCCTTTCACAAGACATTTTAAAGTCTCTTTAGGTTCATGTGTGTGTGCTGACCCGGACGGTTCCCCAGTGTTCTAACAAACTGATGCTCTGCATGTGACAGATATCCAAACCTGGACTTTGGCTGGAAGAGATCTATTGACAGCAAAACATTCATCTCCTGTCCTGAGTCCTGCAGTGAGGAAGGAGACGAGCACTGCCAGCACCAAGACACAGGAAGCCCTGATCCTAGTCCCCTAACGAAGCCCTGTAGTGACCACTCCTGCTTGCCTCAGCAGGGCCCATTCACAGCCCTTGATCTCGGAGATGCCTCCTGCACCAGGAACCTAACTAATGGCACTGCCCAAGTCGCTGACTGTGACGATGACGGCCACCAAGACGAGCACCTTCACCAACATGACAATTGCCAACGCTACCAGCCCAGCCCCCCTGGGCTGCTGAGCCCTGAATCAATGCAAACCACTACCTCAGTTCCTGTGCAGCCCCCTCACAGCTTCAAGAAGCCCAGCTCTACTTCTCCACAGCCTAGTGATGAATGTACACCAGGGAGGACTTCAGACCACACAAATAAAGCTACCTCAGTCTGCGACCAAGCAGCCACGGGTCCCGGCACTCCTGCACCATCTTCTCCTGACCTTGCTGCGGACCCCCAGCACAGATCCCAAGCAGGAGACTCCCGCAAGAGCCTGGGGCCCAACCCGGGCCTCATCCTGCAGGCGTTGACCCTATCGAACGCCAGTGATGGATTCAACCTGGAGCGGCTGGAGATGCTCGGCGACTCCTTCCTGAAACATGCCATTACCACGTACCTGTTCTGTACCTACCCTGATGCTCACGAAGGACGCCTCAGCTACATGCGCAGCAAGAAGGTGAGAGAGCCCAGCATCACTGCACACTTATAGAGGAGCATCAGACGGTTCTGTCAACACTGACGCTGTAGAAACGTCTCTGAAATTGGAATAATGATCTATTACAGTGGTCAGACACAATCACTGCTGTTTATTAAAGCTGTACTGAAGTAAGTCGACCTTCATGAAGACTGAGTCCAGTTCCTGTTGAACCAGTCTCAGAGCAGTGCTGGGGTTGGTAGTGTTATGTTATGATGCCTCACACTGACAACTCCATTAAAGTAGTTATTATGAGTGTTATCTAAGTAGGGTTGGCTGGAAATATAGAGACACCTCTTTTTAAGTATTTATACACACTGAGTGTTACACTACCTGTTAGTGTTCAACCCTAACAGTGTTTAACTGTTGTCACTGTGCTGGATGTCTGCATGTTCAGCTACTCAGGGTGTGTTCTTACCTGAGAGCCGACTCTAACCAAAGATCTGCTTCAATCTTTGCTGAGAACTCACTTTTCTGAGGCTGCACTGTGATACTGACGGCCTGCCCGTTGTCCAGGTGAGCAACTGCAACCTGTACCGTCTGGGGAAGAAGAAGGGGCTTCCTAGCAGGATGGTGGTGTCCATCTTCGACCCTCCTGTCAACTGGCTGCCTCCTGGATACGTGGTCAACCAGGACAAGAGCAGCAGCGACAAACTGGATTCAGAGGCGGTCAGTGGATCTGCTGCTACGTTCCTATGTGGTGATGTGTGACTGTATAAACCCAGTGCATCGTGTGTGTGTGTGTCTGTGTGTGTCTGTGTGTGTGTGTGTCTGTGTGTGTGTGTGTGTGACTGGTACACCTGCTGAGTGATGCATGTTCACCACCTCTTGTGATTATAGATATTCCAGGTGATGTGTTTGGGGTGAGGCCCTTGACAGCATACAGTGCAAAGTGTTGTCAGTGTTATGATGTGGTCAGGCCACTAGAGGGCAGGCTTTGACCTTCTCTTGCAGCACATGGCAGCACTGTGCTGGTGTTTTGGTTCTAAATCACACAGCTCCCAGTGTTTCACTCTACGGCTACAGTGAATGTTAGGAATAAGAAAATACCAACACTATGATCTGAGTTCCCGGCTGTACTGATGTATGATGGCTAGATGTTTCTGTAACTGGCTGGTGGGTTAGGAATGATGTCTGTTCTCCTTCACATCATTGGTTTTTAGTAGCTCTGGTGTCATGGACATTTCTAACCAGTCAACCAGTAGCTTGATTCTGGTTCATGGATTTGGTTCAGCTGTTAAGATAAATCCAGGCTGTGTTTACCCTGCATCAGGAAGGTCCATCTACAATAACTCCTCATCCCAGTACTGAACCAGAACTACTTCTTCTTGGTTTCTCTTGTACTTGAACTCTACCGCCCCCCCCTGTCTGTTTCCATCCAGGCCAAAGAGGACCTTCTGACCAATGGGCGATCTGGGAACGACTACGATGAGGACGATGATGGCGAGGACGTGGATGAAGACGGTGAGCTGATGCTGAAGGATGAGCCAAAGGATGAGGTCAACATGGAGGACGATCTGGAGTACTACAAGGAGCACATCAGATTCATTGACAACATGTTGCTGGGATCAGGTGCGTTCGGTAAGAAGATCTCTCTGAGCAGCTTCCCCCCCTCGCTGGGCCCGGCCTCGGCCTCCTCCCCGGCCATGGAGTCTCCGTATGAGTGGAAAGCCCCCAAGAAGCCCCTCCACCCCACCACAGCACACTACCCCTCGGAGCAGGTGTCCAGCGGGCCCTCGGTGGAGGAGTTTGACTACAGCTCCTGGGACGCCATGTGCTACCTGGACCCCAGCAAGGCCGGAGAGGAGGACGACTTTGTGGTGGGCTTTTGGAATCCATCGGAGGAGAACTGCGGCACCGAGCTCGGCAAGCAGTCCATCTCCTACGACCTGCACACGGAGCAGTGCATCGCAGACAAGAGCATCGCTGACTGTGTGGAGGCTCTGCTGGGCTGTTACCTGACCAGCTGTGGAGAGAGAGCCGCCCAGATGTTCCTGTGCTCACTGGGCCTCAAGGTGAGCTCGGACCCCCAACACTGATCCATCTCAGTACCACATCCAGTCAGAATACAGCACCAGATGTTCATGAGATTGAGACAGAATACACATGAATAAGTAGCATCATGACCTTCCAACAGCACACCTACTGCTTCATGTTTCTCCCTGAGCTGTCATTGGTCTCTGTGTGACCGTCACCTCGCCGCCAGGCCCACTGGTCACTTCCAGTCCTGCTGGATGTAGTTGCTTTTCAGTCGTACACTCAGACTGCAGGTATCTGTGCTCATCTGTCCACCACTGTTTAGTTCAGTGATGCTGATTTTCATCCCTTTTATATGGATCCACCAGCAAATAGCCTTAAAGGTCACCTGATCATCATCTCACGTCAGATCTTCTTCTTTTTGTTTCCGTGGGAAGCTGCTTGACAGCAGCACTTGTCATCAGAATTCATTTATTTATTTTGTGGTATTGTCACTCTTTACTCACAAACAGCAGTTTATCCTTTCAGTCCAGCAGCTCCAGCTGTAGTGCAGATGTTGATCAGGCACAATGACACCAGACCTGACAATCTGCACCCAATACATACATCTAGTGTATAACTGCCCTCTAAAACCATGTGTGTGCGTCTCAGAGTACATACTCAGGATACCAGCATTCAGTGAAACTTTGCCATTTGTGGGAAAACTTTGATCTTCAATTACCAGCTCTGACCTGGTCAGAGTCTTAACGAGGTTAACCCTCTGAGTGACTTTCTCATTATTCACTGCAGTGTGAAGTCCTGCACCTACATGGAAGCAGCACAGCGATGCCTACAAGTAGGACACAGTTATAATACCACGTCAATAGAAACAGATCAGAATGAAAGCTGCATTTCTTTGATTATGTATTTTGCAGAAAATCTAATACTCAGGTGTGACCAGCAGAAACAAACGGGGCTCCACATCCTCTAGCTGATATGAACATATGTCAAAACTATCATCAGAAACATGTAGAGGTTTTGTGTTCTTGTGACACCAGGTGCTGCCGTTGGAGAGGGAGACCCTGAGCGGGGCTGTGGTGCAGAGCTGCCAGACCACAGCCATCGACTTGTGCTACGGCTGGCTGAAGATCCCACCGCGCTGCATGCTGGACCATCCGGATGCAGAACGGACTCTCAACCACCTCATCTCCGGCTTTGAGAACTTTGAAAAGAAGATCAACTATACCTTTCAGAACAAGGCTTACCTCCTCCAAGCCTTCACCCATGCCTCTTACCATTACAACACCATCACAGGTCAGAGTTCATGTCCTAGCATCAGGACGGCTCAGATAGGTCTCCACCTGCTGTTTGCCTCGTAAAGAACCAGATACGCAGCATAAACTACTAGGTTTCTACCCAACGCTAAATGTTGAAACCAGCTCGATGTCTGTCGCCTCAGGAGTCAGCAGGGCGTCATCGAAACATCTCTGTTGACATCTGATTTAAGTTCCATCATTTAAACCTTTTAAAGGAAAGTTAAAGAGAGTTGTGCCTCCTATGAACGTGATCACCACGCAGCAGCAGCAGCAGCAGCAGCAGCAGCAGCAGCAGCAGCAGCAGCACAGGTCATGAAGCCACCATAAAACCTCCTTCTCAGAGGCGTAACCAATGTTTAGATGAAGGACTTTCCCAGAGTGTGGCCTCTGGTGTACGCTGCTGTGTCTAACAGTGGGACTGATTTACCAAAAGTAGACAAATGGAGGCTGAACAACAGCTAAGTGACTGAATCTGAGCAAACGATAGCAAGACTCAGGATGTCTGGGACACATGAGAGTCTGAAAAACAACAGCCTGATAACACAGTGGCAGCTATGAGTGATTTTATTTTATTACTTTTTATTATCAGCTTTTACTATTATTATTATTATTATTATTGTTATTATTATCAACAGATGTCACAGTTTTAGTGTCTATGCATCCTTACAGCGTGTACCGATGCTCCAGCTTCAGCTTTTGAAGGCTTTACTGAGGAAGATGCTCCTTTATGATCCCAGTTTGTCTCTAGTGTGATGGCAGCTGATTATTTCACGACTCTGTCCTCAGATTGTTACCAGCGGCTGGAGTTTCTCGGCGATGCAATCCTAGACTACCTCATAACGAAGCACCTTTATGAAGACCCACGGCAGCACTCTCCCGGGGTGCTGACTGATCTGCGCTCAGCCCTCGTCAACAACACCATCTTTGCCTCTCTGGCGGTTAAGTACGACTACCACAAGTACTTCAAGGCGATCTCGCCCGAGCTTTTCCACGTCATCGATGACTTTGTGCAGTTTCAGCTGGAGAAGAATGAGATGCAAGGCATGGACTCAGAGGTGAGTCCTGCTTCGATGAAGAGCATCGTATCGGTACCAGTACTGAACAACAGAACCCGGTAGGAGAACGCCTCATCTTTGCTGTTGGAGCTGCCCCACCCCCACCCCAGCCTCCACTGCCCTAAATAATAGTCAGTATTCAGAAAAGATAAGCTTGAATAACAAGGCTGTCAGCTTCTGTGAATCTGTTCCATATTCCAGTGATTTCGGTACTGAGGAGAAAATGCATTTGGATTTAATTTGCCTGGAAATGGCTATCTTGGAAGCAGATCTCTCATTTTGCTTGAGAATTACTTTTATGCTTTAGGGACAGCAGGCACATACACAAACAGCTGAAAGAAATAAAGAAAAGCCCTGCAGTGATACAGTTCCTCTCCACGTTCAGCGTTCATCAAATTAAGCGAACAGCAACATGCTGAAGCTGCTAATGTGTCGAGCTTTAAACAATCACACGGCGGGTCAGAGCTTCAGCAGCCCACATGTGACTGTCGGTGGGAGTGAGAATGAAGAGATTCTTAAAGGTTTGGATTGTTGTGGTAGACTTTTAAAGTAAGAGCAAACTTAAACCCAGTTTTAGCTTCAACACGTGAACTAATGTCCTCTAATGCACATGCTGGAGTCATAATAATGCTGAGATGGTTATCTGATGCTTATTCAGAGTCTGAACAGCTCCAGTTACGTTGATCAGTCCTGGTACAACATTTCTACAGTGTGCAGTTATAAAGCGTGTTGTAGCTGAGGGCTGGACTCTCCTGAAGGCTTAGCGTAGCAGCTTGTCAGCAAATGCACCACAGAGACATGGTATATTCAAACAATCCAGTTAAAACCAGGCTATATGTCACGTCAGTCAGATCTACCATGATGGAGGGCGTTCATTAGAGAAAAACACTCATATCCACTAATGATGGTACCAGAGACTGAGCAGCCACATCATAGACGGTGTGGATCCCACAGCTAGCACATTTCTATTATATTAGTTGTCATGTTGCCCAAGTCTAGCTCAGCACTGCACACTGTTAGCTTAGCACCACTGCTAGCACTGGAACTTCTGGCCACATTTCTGTCGGTGCTCCAGACTCTGTAGACTTCCAACAGGTGATTTCTGTCACGTGTCACCGCGTGATGGAGAGGAAGCCTGGTGTTGGCGTGTGCTGTGCTGGTGTGCAGCACGAGGCCGTGTCGCGGGTCAGTCAGTCATTAAGCTGCACTGCTACGGCCACAGCAGGCCAAGGTGGAGATGTTCAGGTTATTCCAGTCTGGCTGTGTTGTTGTGGCATTTACTAACCACTCTGTGCTTTTCTTTACCAGCTGCGGCGCTCTGAAGAAGATGAGGAGAAGGAAGAGGACATCGAAGTCCCTAAAGCCATGGGGGACATCTTTGAGTCGCTAGCTGGAGCAATTTACATGGACAGCAGAATGTCTCTGGAGACGGTGTGGCAGGTGTATTATCCGATGATGAGGCCGCTCATAGGTGAGCACGTGGAACTGCATCGATGTGTTTATCAGGCAGGACTGATGAGCAGCTCAGGAAGGGAACCTGGGTGACGGCAGACATTCAGCTTTGCTTTGTGTCCGTTAGGGTTGTGTGGACATGTTGAAGAACTGAGTGTTGATCCTGCGTTGGTTTCTCTCATCACTCTCTCATCCTTCACCTCTTACAGAAAAGTTCTCTGCCAATGTGCCACGCTCTCCTGTGAGGGAGCTGCTCGAGATGGAACCAGAAACTGCCAAGTTCAGGTAGGAGTTCAGCACACGGCTGCTGGTGTCGTCGTTACACTCAGACACACACTCACAGGTGGATGCAGGTGTTTTCATGTTGGACCGCGTGCTTCACTCAGCAGATTCAAATAACCAGCATTCGCTTTAGAATTAGATGGAGAATGACTTTCAGTATAGTGACAGTAAGACTTGACACAGCTGTGAGAGTGTCTGGTTCTGTTGGTTTCAGTTCTGGACGTTACTACGACCGTGTGTGTCATTCATTTGACTGTAACCATCTCCTCTGTTTCACTGAGCATCAGATCTTTGTTGTCCAGACATGTTGGGAACAGGACGTCCATACCTGCAGTCTGAAGCTGTGTCTCCTCTCCTCTGTCTGCAGCCCTGCAGAGAGAACGTACGACGGGAAGGTCCGGGTGACGGTGGAGGTCGTCGGGAAGGGCAAGTTTAAAGGAGTCGGTCGCAGCTACCGGATCGCCAAGTCAGCGGCAGCGCGAAGAGCTCTGCGCAGCCTCAAAGCCAATCAACCTCAGGTCCAAAACAACTGAGCTCCCTGTCTGAGCTCTCAGCATTAGCACCTAAGCTATTGACGCTAATGGAAACAAAAGCAACGTCAGCTTCCCAAAACAGCGTGATGCTAGCCCTGTACGTTCAGCCTGACGGCACAACCAAGGCAGCCAGGGAACACTGTGGAGACACGAGACGAGAAGCAGGCTGATCTCACAACAGATTTCACGTTGGATCCTTTACCTTCTTTCTTTTTTTTGCGCAAACACAATCTTTACTTTCCTTCTTTGCTATGTGTAATCACATGAGTGCTTTATTAACGTTTAGCAAACTGTTAAAAAACAAAAAAAGAAGTCAGGTCGCAGTGTCAATTCCTCACCGTTTATTTTGTTTGTTTGGTTTAACTTCTGTCAGTGAGATGAGACTTAAGCTTATCGTGTAGTATTAGGTTGTACATAGTTCAATCAGAGGTGTAAATCAAAGTATGTAGGAAGAAAAAAGCTAAACTCCTCAGCCTGTGCACTAGTGCCAGTCAGTTTTAAAGCGTTTTTTAAAACGGCAGACGTGGCGAGCAGATACCACTGGAGCAAACCCTGGTGGCACTTCTGTCTGAAACCTGTCTTGATATGGTATTCTTGATCATTTTTGCACTTATTCCATTAGGGTCTGTTATTTTGAAAATTGTGTGGTCACACCAAAATCATATACGTAGCAAAGTATATAAATATATATAAAATATAAAATACATAAATGATATTCTTGGTCTTAGATGCTAAGGCTAACCCTCATATCCTGCAGAACAGATAGGAATTTCAACATTCCCAGTTACTGTAATTTAAACTAGTTTTTGATCGCACTTGAGGTTGCATGTTCTTGTAGCTTATGTATAAACCATGACAACTGGATGGCTTCTATAAATGTTCTAAATCATCTATGGATATATCTAGAGTGTGTGAGAGCGAGATCAGATGTTTATGGCATTATCTTGGTGATTTGGTTTCACATGTTTTGATACTAAGAATGGATAGAGCTGAATTAGTCCTTCTTGCGCACTAAATGTCTTTCCACAGAGCGAATCATCCAGTTTTGATATAAGAAAAGAAAGACATATCACACGTTCAATATGCTGCAGACTTTTCTACAAATTGGATACTCGTGTAGGACAGAATCTTTTCAAGTAGTCTTTGTGAAAAAGGCCATTATTTCATTTCAACACACTAGTGTTCCTCACATCCCGTACCTACCAAAGCTAAGCCGATGTGACACTATGAGGTTGAAGACGATTCCTAGGGAGACGGATACCAGCCTTTATCGTGCTGTTTGTTCTGACACATTTTGCTTCTTGCTAAATGTCTTTTTTTTTCTCATCAGTAAGCCCTTTTTTCACTTGAATACCTCAGTTAATTGCATGCATTTTCTTGTCTTTTTTTTTTTTTTCTTTTTTGTTTGGTGCTATGTTTTTGTATTAAGCTTGAATTTCTCATCTTTTTTGCACTGTAACTATAATACCTCTTTATTTGACCTTTTTTTTTAAAAAAACGACAAAAAAACAAGTCTGTTTGGTTTGGTTGTCCTGTAGGCGGGCCGCCGATGGGCTGCCGGGCCCACCGGGCCCACCGGGCCCACCGGTCCGCCGGGCCGCGGTGGCGTGGGCTCTCCCCCTCCATACTTGAGGTTGAGACTTAACGATTCTGGGGGCAGGGAGGAGAAGTGTTTTCTCTGTGCATAAGCCTAGCTGTTGTTTTCTTCATTAATTAGCAGTAATTGCATCAGTTTAGAGTCTGTTCTGGAGGCGAGGACTGATTGGTGGGAGGACGAGGGCGGGGCTTGCAGAGGTACGCAGCAGATTGCACTCTGGAACATTAGACACCAAAAAACAGGCAGAGGAAACTACTTGACTCATCTCTTCAAATCTCTCCTCATAAATAAGGGTTGGAAGAGACGCTCACCTGTGTGCTTGTAAACTGCTGGTCCGGCCGCGGCAGGTGTAATCCACAGTCATGTGATCCCACACACAGGTGCTTCTACCTCAAAGTGCACTCAGTGGTCATCTCTGGACACGGCTGCAATTCGGTTTGTGATGGAGACGGAGGCTGTGGTCACGTGTTCAGGACACAGCAGACGGACGTCTCAGCGACTCCTCACAGTCATTTGTGTCTCATGTCTGCAGTCAGAGACACGGGACACAAAGCCCAGTGCCTTCTCTGTGGGAGGAGATCAGTGTTGGACTGGAGTGGATGATGATTCGTTGTCATTTTCCGTTCGTTACCGGGACCGGTGTTAATCTTGTTTTCTCCCAGATCCCTCCTCGGGTTCCTGACATTTCCTATCGTGGCTCCGACAGACAGCAAAGCGAATACTAAAGTCTGAATTTGGGAAATCCTTCAGCGTCGCCACAGAGCTCCAGTGCATCCCTACAATCTGTCAGAGTGCAATCTGTCGCTACCTCTCAGGCAGCCGTGTGGTCCTCTGGTCCACCTGTAAACCTGTTGGATGTGGACGGTGCTTTCAGGTTCCCCTAACAGAGACAGACCCGGTCAGACCTTAGAGTTGGAGCGTACGTTCCCCCCAGTCACCCCACATCTCAGTCTGTGGTCGCCACGCAGCCGTTTAGATCCACAGCTCAACACACTAACTGCTCAGCAGACTTTGGGAGGATTATTTAAAAATCAAAAGAATGTGAACTCTCTCATATGGTGCCACTGTGCCCACTGTACTGTCTGTGACTGATGGAGGATCACCAGTGTTCTAGTCAGCCTCCAGTGGCATCATCTTCTGTTTTGTGTTTTCTTTTGAACTTGAGGAGGCGTGTGGGCGTGCTGAAGGTGAGGTAGTCCTTTGGTTTCAGAGCAGACTATGTTTTCTCCTACTGGCAGATGTTTGTTGTTTTTTTTTGTACATGTAGCACAACTGAGCATTGCACTTGGGCGCCATACTTTACCTCATGTCAGAGTGCGAAAGGAGCGAGCGATTAGAGAACTGTATATATGATGCCGTGATGTTAAGTACTAACTTGTGGTTCAGGCTTTGCTGCTGTTTCGATTGCTGGTGTCACACAGACTTGTGTAGAAACACAATAAGGGGCTTTGGGAGGACGCTGAACAACACGTCCTTAATCTGGAGATCAAATGTCTGGATGTCGTGTTCAGTGACGTCCCGCCTTAAATACGTGTTACGAGATGAATGAAGCCAAACTCCTACCACGATCAACTCGTGTTAATTCTCCGACTCCTCCAGCAGTCCTCCAAGTGATGCCCTCCCACAGCCCTTTATCAGGAACTTAAAGGAAAAATCCACTCAAACCAGCCCCTGTTGGCTTCCTCAGACCATCATGAGCCGTGTTTGTACTCGTCTGTAACCTGCCTGCAAGCCATGATCACCGTGTAGACAATGACTATCTGATAATCCAGCTTCTCCGTGCAGAGGGAGAGCAGACTAGTTCTCCACTAAGGCACACAGAAGTTCTGCCTGACCCGGTTACCTGTCACTACATTATACTACTCAGAAAGGAATCATGAATTTTTTCAAATCAAATTTGGCCATAAAATGAATCCTGTGAAACAAGCTGTGAAAAGACCCAGATGTAAACTCCACAGATGGAGGTCTAACATCTAGCATCTTGTAGGGCTTTCCTGACTCTGGAGATGGTGAGGACGTGACTTCATCTGATCTCCATCCAGGCTTTCTGTTGTAGTTACACGTACAACCCAGTAAAGTCCTGGTTCTGCCCAGACTTGAAGCTTTTAGCCCTGATCCCAGCCCTGCACCACCATCTTCTGTACCTCTGACCAGACTGGCTGCATCAGTGTGGTGGAAGTATTGAGGTCTGATAGGTGAAGCCTCCATACAGCAGACGAGGCCACAGCGAGTACAAACCCCCCCAGAGCAGAGAGGCATCATCAGAGGAGAACTGGACCTGGTGGCAGAACCTCCAGCTTGTTTTCCCCCGTGTTGCTGGTTTCAGATGGGTTTTTCCTTCAAGGACTGAACAAAGTTGACAGAGAATGAACATGTATGTGACACACGGTGAGCGTGGGGTCGGAGGAGAACCCCTGGCAGCAGATGTTCGTCTCACCGAGCCAGCATGGAGCGCCGACGGTGACGCTTCACCGAGCAGCAGAACACCAGCAGAACGGAGCCGCGTGGAATGAGTGATGAACTGTTATCAGTGTGGGGAATTATGGGCCATCACAACCTGCAGCAAATATTTAAGGGACATTGGAATAGAAATTGAACTTCTCACTCATACTGTAATACTGTGCTGCAGTGGTTTGCGGTCTGCACCTTATGGATCACAAATACCTTTAATTTTTCTCTCTGGATTATTTTCTTTTCTTTATTTTTTATAATTGTAGCCCAGTATATATATACAATAAAAGTAATGGTATGGTCATTCACTCTGGGCTCTGCGAGGCTGATTGTGTTGCTGAGAGGTCGTCTGATCGGATATTTTAGGAGTGCATTCACTGGATTTCAGTCCTAGCTGCTGTGGCAGGTTCAGTTAGTTTGCAAACGATGAATCTGAAAGTTGGCAGCTCCTAAATCTTTCCTCTAGCAATCCTAACGCAGTAGTACTATCAGTAATACTCTGTTACAGCGACAACAGTCTGTGTGTTAAATGGTTTACATTAACCTGTAGTATGCTCCATATACACCATAATGTTCATACAACAGGCCAGTGTGAGACTCCTACAGCTTAGAATCACTGAAAAACAAGCGTGCGTTTTAGTTCTCTCATAGATTTATTATAGGCCTCCTGGAAGTATGACTGAATCTGCTGCGTTGGGTTTATATAATAAATACCTGCAGCTGCTTGAATGATCCATTGTGGTTGTGAGGAAAGCTGTTAAACTGTCTTTGTGATATTATCCCTCGTCAGTGATTACAAATGAATACAGCTGCAGACTTCTCTGGTTCAGTTTAAATAGCTTTTAAATACACTCATTAGCATAAATAGTACAACAGGAAGGTCTAAGGAGCAGATCTGAAGAAGCAAATCATGAACTTAAACCAGTCAGGAGCAGCCAGTTAAAACATCTGCACAGTCATGTTCCTGCCACGGCCAGGAAGAAAAACCATCACCTGCTGCTGAGAGACGACTGGTCACGATGGTCAAGAGTCAGCCAGGAATCACCAAAGAGCAGGTCTGCATGGAAGAAGAAGCTGCTGGAACACAGGTGTCAGGTGTGTTTTAGGTCACCTGAGAGGCTGCCGTGTCAGAAGGAAGGTTTCCTCTGGAAGCAGCTCCTCAAAGCTCGACTTCAGGTTTTAGTAGAGAGACAAAGGAAAGAAACCGGTCAGATTAAACATTTAGCTATTTGGCCACAATGACCAGAAATATGTTGGAAGGAGGGGCTGCAGGGTGGCGCAGTTGGTAGCACTGTTGCCTCGCAGCAAGAAGGTCGCCGGTTGGCGTCCCGGTGAGGACACCCGGGATCTTCCTGCGTGGAGTCTCCATGTTCTCCCCGTGCAGCGTGGGTTCTCTCCGGGTTCTCCGGCTTCCTCCCACAGTCCAGAAACATGCTGAGGTTAATTGGTGATTGTAAATTGTCCGTAGGTGTGAATGTGAGTGTGCTTGGTTGTCTGTCTCTAAGTGTAGCCCTGTGATAGACTGGTTACCTGTCCAGGTGAACCTGCCTTCACCCTGAGTCAGCTGGGATAGGCTCCAGCCCCCCCGCGACCCTAATGAGGATTAAGCGAGGTGGCAGCACCATGGTCTGGAGCTGTTCTGCTGTCGGTGGAACTGGAGCTTTAACCAAAGTCAATGAAATAATGAGGAGGAGGATCACCTCCACATTCTTCTGGACAACCTTAGATCCTCAGCCAGAGGGTTGGGTCTGAGGGCAGCTGAGTGACAAGACAATGACCCAAAGACTCAATAAAATGGTGATATGGCTGAATCAGGTTCAACACTGGCCTTCTCACAGTCCTGACTTAAACCCTGTCAAGAAGCTGCTGGCTGAAGAAACAAGTCTGTGTTGGAAAGCCAACAAAGAGCCGTCAAAGACAACCAGAAGCTTGTCAAAGGCGTACAACCACCAAGCGGGTCTAACTGAGGTGAACATGGTTCTGTGAGTGTCTGTGTGCATCCAGTACACCCGTTTACGTCTGATGTGAAGATACGCTCACGATGAAAACTTAGAGCCATGTGTCCAGAAAGAAGAAGAACTCCTGACAGCTCTGTACCAGCAGGTGAGACTGGACTTCATCACATCTGTCTTCACACTGTTTCTGACCTCAGGGTGACACCTCCGGGTGACACCTCAGGGTGACGCAGGTGAGAGAAGTGTGCTGAGAGATGACGTACCGTAGATCCACGGTAAGACCTGAACCCAGAAAGTCAACACTCAGAGATGGTTGAATTTGATTTAACTTTCAAGATCTAAGTTTTACAAACCAAAAGTACCCTTGAGCCTAAACCCAGACGATGTTGAACACATGTAGGTGAGCTGCGACGTGCTGACGACGGTCCAGCTTGAGCTCCATGTCCTCCTGACGGGCCTGTTTGGGCTCATTCAGCCTGCCCATCATCTGCTCCGCTTTTCAGGTCTGCCGGCTCTGAGGCTCGTCAGCAGCACTCACTATATTGGGCCTGTCCGACGGGCCTGCTGACTGTATACCACAGCAGCTTTATCGGGCCCCGGGGACCAAACAGCAGGTTCACCAGCGGGACCAGTTTCCACCGGACCAAGCAGGCTGACAGCCAACTTGTTTTTCTTTCAAACCAAAGTGTCATTGAGCCTCTGCCACTAAAGCTGGTTACACTCTGATTAACCATCATTCACTGATTGTTGTCACCATGTTGGAATACCTGAAGTGAGGAGCGGTATCAGCTCAGAGTGGGTCAGCCCTGCTAGAACTTTAGAGGCTGATGTACAGTTTAATATGTGAAAATGGAGTCACTTAAGAGACAAAGATGATCTAATCTTGACAACCATAACTGACTGCAGGTACTATTGTTAATCCCCCACGTCACCGATGGAAGTCCATTTGAGACCTGAGTCTGGGACCAGCAGCAGCTAATCTGCTCAGTCTGCCTGCTGGCTGTAAATCTGGGCCCGTGTGGTTGAAGTTAAGAAGAATGAATGAAGAGTACGTCTTGTTTGATGAGGTGTGTATCAACAGCTTGCAGGTAAAGAAACAGCTCAGATTCAGGGGAAGTAAAAAAACAGCCTGTCAGCCTCTTAGTATCAGAACAGGATGCTGTCGGACCAGGACGTGATGCTGACGTCACAGGTCCAAGAGCATCATACATATATATATATATCGTACAATAAAACCCGTCCTCTGGACTGGACCGGCCTGCCCAGCCAGCCACCAGGCCGTCCTCTGGACTCTTTCTTTCCTGGATTATGAAGCCTCAGGGCTGCCTACCAGACCTTTTCTGTTTGAACTCTTCTAGTTGGTTTTGACCCACCTCAGGACTGCCTGGACTGTTCTGGACACTGTTTATGTTTCTGTATCAGATGCAGCACTGAGATCCAGTAGAACCAGTATAGAAACCAGTCCAGTGTCAGAGACTCTGCTCAAACCATTTGTGTGCAGATGGTCACATGACTGGCAGCAGCGATGTCATCCCAGCACTCCCACATGGTGTTCTGTTCATACTGTATGAACGACATTTATCTCACTTTTATGTGGACGAATCGGACTCTGAGGCTTTGGGAAGCTCTGATGCCAGCCAAACCCTTTTGAGTTAAATGGAACTGAAGATTAACTTCACATGACATATTTGAATAATCTAACAACTCCACAGAATGCTGATGTTGGACGTTTCAAAGTAAAATATTTAGCTTAGACTGGTGCACAGTAATGGAGACCTACAGATTATATGAGTTTACTAGTGCAGCTGGATGAAGTTCAGTCAGTAAGACATTCAGATTTGATGCTACTCTGAGCTTTTGCTGCAGTGAACCACTACAGGAACCAGGGACACGTTCATGTGAAAGCGTATGAACTGGACATGTGACTCTTGCAGCTCCACTGTGAGCTGAAAACAAATAAGGCCGAACTGCCGGTGAACATGAGCGGGTCAGAGGTTTGCTGTGTGGGAATGAGCAGGCTTAATAGTGACTTATTGCCTGTGTTGATAATGTGCAGACTACTGCTGTGTCACATGAGCCATTTATTCTGTGCTGTAAAAACAAGAGAGACCATGAATAAATATGTGAGTGGAGGGCCGGGGAGGGGGCTCGCTGCATTGTTTCCCTCCAGAAAAAAGAAGTGATTATGCTGTGAGCTGCTGCAGTGTCTGTCAGCACATACAGCTCATGGCCTAAACCTCACCACATCTTGTTATTCTTCAACTTTGTAAAGTCTGTGGCATTCTGGGCCCGGTCCATACGACCAGACTCAGTTTGTCCCTCTCACAGGCACAGTGCTGACCCAGCTCTAAACTGGGCCACATGTGTCTGCTTGTGTCGGATCAGCGATGTTCTGCTCTCGCTTCGTGTTCAGCGTCTCCATGCCGTTCACGCTGTGGGCAGACGTGATCTTCCTCATCATGCTTCTGCAAATGGAACCTCGAAGCTGGTGCAAGAAAAAAAGCTCATGTGTTCTCATCATTTCACCGACAGATTGAGTTAAAAAGTGCATTTTAGTAT